GATGTATAGAAGGCCACCGAAACCACATGCCAAAGAGGAACTTTGATTAACTGACTTGGAATCAACATCTTCTAAACAGGAGAATGCCCACAATGACCCTGGCCCCTTTTGTACATTTGAGGCGAATTATGTATTTCCGGGCCTGTCTGCAGATACACACACCAGCAATCTTCAAATAAATTTGGAATTACAGATGGAGCTTCACTATTCTGACCTCCAAATATCCTATCATACCCAACCTCGTGGATTCCACCCCCAGGTTTTTATCATGAGTCCTTTAACGTTTACCCTGGTAGCTGTCAGTCTTTAAACTGGAGTTAGTTTGATCCCTTGTCAACTCGATGCTTAAAGCGTGAATTAAAAGGGAGGAGGAGGATGAATGAAGCCTACAGTTTAAGGGGGAAGGAGTTGAACAAAAGACGTTTTTTAAAAAAATCATTGATTTTCTTTTCAGGTTGATTTAGCAAGAGCTCTAGCCAGCTGCCTGTAATGAAGGTTAGTGGACACCTGGCTTGTTCGGAAGTGGCTGCAGTCAGTGATAGCCTGTTTGCAGTGGAAACCGTGCGGCCTCCAGTGGCGTTAGCCTTGCGCTGTGGTGTTGCCAACCGATTTCTCCAATTCTCTTTTCTCAGTGGGCTGGAACGCAGCTGGTTCAATAGGCCGTGACTCACATAGGCTCCCGTGTCTTTTTTACTGACTGCTTTATGGAAATGCGCTGCCCTCCAAAGGGGCCCCATTGTTGGTGCTGTGCATAGCTGACTGGGGAGTCATGTTTAGTGCTGAGAGATGGAAGCCTACCCTGTCGTTTTTCACTGACGAGGTGGGGATGGGTGGGATACACGGGTTGAGGAGAGAGGGATGTTGGAGAATTGCTCTTATCTTCATCTACCACCGGAAGTTGGGTACCCATCACTTCTGGCTAACACACTCCTCTTATCTTTATGGCCCGCATCTTTCGGCCAAGGGAATCTTTTCTTTCTACAGGCTATTCTGAGAGATTTAGTTAAGTGTAGTGGTAGAGAGAGATTATGACATTAATGTAATTCTGTTTTGTGCTGATAGAACCTTAAGTTTATCCCGGAGAGCCATTTATTCCTAATAAATCTAAATCATTCCCATTTTTTCATTACGGTGGTGATAGCTTTTTTTTTTTTTTTTTCAGGAAATGAAGGGAAAGCCTCTATCTTTTAAAATTGTATACTTAAATATAAATGCTTTTGCCTTAAAATAGCAACTTACACAGCAGGGTGTGGGTGCTTCCTACTTGCCTTATCATCCTGCAAGGCTTTTGCCAACTTTCCGGCAAACTTTCTGCAGATCTGTACTTTTCCGGGAGGTGTGGGTTCTGGCACACAGACTCCCCCCGCCCCGTCACCCCGCAGTGTGGTTTTCCGTTGTGCTTTCTCAGGATCACTGGCTTTTTGATCATGAGGACCCCGAGCTGACACTGAAAGAGGAGATTAGGTTGATTGTCCCAAAGGCTTCCCATCTTAGTTGTCTAAAGTTACTTAAGGCTCATAGAACGAACGAGATTGAGTTCAGCGTCAGCGCTGCATTGGTAATAATTCCGTGATTGTACTCATCAAACGAAGTCTTGGCAGAGTAGACAATGGTCATCTGTTGATTTCCTCCCTTTTTTCCATAGCCACAAAATGTACCTGCAATTCCATTTCCCTGTTTTTCTAAGGGAAACTAAGCCCCCAAAAGTTCAGTATAGCAGTGCAAACTCCCTGTAACGAGTAAGAAAGCAAGATGACCCAGCTGACTGACTGTGTACACAAATCCAGCACATTAAAAAAAAAAAATCTATTTCCAGCTACATTACTCTTCAGCATCCCACTAATGAGCCACCAAAAGACAAGATACAGCCACTCATTCTGTCCCAATTTCAGCAGACAGAGTTTGCCTCTTGGGGTGACAAGGTGGCGATGGCGTGGTCCCTCGGGTCTTGGGATTCGCAACTAGGAGTCGGAACATCTCTGCTGCATCGTCTTTGCTGTCTTGGTGGTGGCTTTGTTGAGTTTCAGTTGGCGGGGAGAGAAAGCCTCATGCTGGTAATGTACTGAAAGTAAATGAAATTAAATAAGCGAAGCAGTGCTCATCGCTCCTTCCTTCCCCCCTGGGTAATTCAATTCAAGCTCTCTCTCTGATGGCAACTCACAGGGGCTGTCTCTGTCACCCCGCTGGGGCCTGGAGTCTTAACATCTAAATAAAAGTTTCACTCAAGCATTTTTTATGCTCCTGCCAGCAGGATCAGTGAGCTGGTGTGGGCACATTAATGTAATATTCATACTCACCAACTCTCCCTGCACACGAGGCGATGTCTCCCCATTTTCATAATTATAGATGTTCCATAAAATGGCATTTATATTTGCATTGAAAAGGGAGGTTTGAATTCTAATAAAACGCTTAGCATATCTTTTATGATCCAGACTCTGGGTGGCTTTATCAAGAGGCCCTGCCTCTAAGTCGAACAGGACCTTAAGCAACAGCACCTCCAAGGTGGGGGAAAGGGATGGGACGCCCAAGCCGAAGAGCATTCTCTTTCCTCTTTCTTATTCTGTCGGCGTTTTACTTCATGTTTAGGCCTCTACAAGCAAGTGTCCGACCCTCAGAGCTTTACAGAGCATGGTTCTCCTTCACAGGGCCTTCTGACCATAGGAGATCCTCACCCCAGCCTCCGGGCCTTAAGCCGGGCCTTGTTTTCTTGGAAAGTATTTTCAGAGGACTATTCGAATTTTCAGAGAGATGCTAGGAAGGGCGGTAGAATTGAAAGAATCCTTGAAAAGCGAGCTTTCTGTTGCTGCCGTCCATCCTGTGCGCACCCTGCCGGAGACTCGTTACAGAGTCTGCTAACTGGGAAACACACGTGAAAATAGCCTATGAACGAGGACGTTGACCATAAGGATGAGTTGGATAAAGAACCAGGCATCCAGACGTGTCAACATGTTTTAAAAGAAGCCCTTCTGATGGATGTTTTTAAAATGAAGTGCAAATAGCTTAGAAGAAAAAGGTTATTCTGGTTGCCTTTTAAGTTATCATCAAATGTTAGTTTTCATTTTAAAAAAGGCATGTACAGCCCTGAATAAAAACAACAGCTCATAGCTGAATAAATGCTACTTATTTTAGGGAGGTGCTCCATGAACAGTTGAAATATCATTTTCATCCCCAATTCTCACAATTTGCATAACTGTGAGACCCAGTTGACTCCTACATGACTCTACCTGAATTTGACTGCGTTTGGGCACACAAAAAAAGAATAAATACCACCACTGCTAGCTCACTCCGTTCATCTTTCCTAATTCAGAAATGTACAGTTGGACTTTTTAATGAGTTGGGGGGTTATTTTGTTCTTGTTACATGTTCTTTCTTGAGGAGTATGCTCCTTCCTCTTCACCTCTGCCCTTTGCCCTTCCCTTCTGAAAAGTGAGTCCAGTGGCGGTCGATGGATGGAGCTCTTGAGTACGTTTGTGCCTGATGAGACTAATATTAAGGTGACCAGATTTTAACATTGGTACAGTGGGACAAAAGCGGGACACCACTGATAAAACTCATATCCTGGCAAAATAGCCACATGGCAGCCGAAAACTGTCTACCCTAGCTTGTCGTGCATTCTTTCCAAAAATCAGG